TATATATACAAAACGATATTTAAGCAATGGGTATGAAATAATATTATGACTTAAAGAATGAAATTGAGCTAACCATGTCATGGTGATTTTATGATAAGGATGGTGATATTGGGAGAAAGAGATTGTTATTGATGAAGTTAAATCTATTATATTAAAAGTTTTTAATAAATTTAAGACTTTACGAAAACATTGATATCATATGTATTCGTCTTCGAAATTAGAGTCTTAAAATTTTATTTGTATTTAATAAAAGTTTTTAATAAATTTAAGACTTTACGAAAACATCGATATCATATGTATTCGTCTTCGAAATTAGAGTCTTAAAATTTTATTTGTATTTAATGTTGAATAATGAGTTTAATTATTTATATGTGATTGCAGCTTTGTTGATATGATATGAAATGTATGATTACTTTTTATCCTTGCATTTTTGTTTTTGTTTGTGTTTTGTTTAATGGAATGATTGTATAAATATATTATAAATAATATATTATAAATGAGCAGAAGATAATGTAGATGAACATGTAATTAATAATACTAAAAATGTGGAATTTGAATATTATATTATATTATATGCAAATAAAGTATGTATTTTATATTAGACTTATGAATAATATAGAACTTCTTGGACATGGATATGTTTTTTTTTTATTTAACTTTCATATATAATGTACCTATGAGTATATGAGTATGTGATTATGTAAAATGGTCAATACTATTAAATATAAAATAAAATTGTTTGTAGTATATTTATAACTATTTTGGATTGTTACAATATCAAAATATTCCTTTGTTATAATTAATTTTAAATATGAATATATATATTACTAACTTAGCCTATTTTAATTTTTACCAAGTTAAATTAAAATAAAATTTAGGATGTTATAAAAGTCACATAAAACATACAAGGAAACAAAATTGCAATTTGTTGAGAATTGTACCATAAAAATGATTTTGATGAAAAATTACTGAATTCAAATAGTGCGTGTACAATTCTTCTCACAAAGTTGTTAAAAAAGTTACGAATTGATGCTTCAATTGCTGTTTTTTAATAATTATGAATTGAAATTACAAAAAAAAAGGAGGTTAAGTTATTGAAAAGGTCCTCTACTTCAATGTTTCGTTCATCCTGTTGTTTATATTTTAAAAAGTTCAATTTATCTATAGTCTCATCTATAAAATTCTCTCATATAGTTTATTTTATTTTATTTTATTATATGTGTATACTAATTCTTAAAAATATTTAAGAAAAAGTTCACCTAAAAGATCTGTTGTCGTTAATATTTTCAAAATAATTTAAAAGTACCCTTCCATCAATGTAATTTAAACACAAACGATTTAGAACTTGTATAATTATTAAAATTTGAATAATTATTAAATCATTAAATTAAAAGTATGCACTATGCGCATTTAGGTTTATATATAAATAATATTTACTAGTACGAGGGTATTAAAAGAAAATCGAATAATTATTTCATTTGTTGAGATTTCTTGTTAGTAAAAAATGATCAATAAGCCTTCATAGGACTTGGATAGTTCAATAAAATATTTAATAAATATAATAAAATAAATTATGATAATGTAAGTTTTAAATATTTAATATTTATAAAAAACAAATAGTAAAAAGAATATTTCATTAACATATACACAAGTTCAATTTAAATTGGATTGGTCCTCAAAACCAATACCGAAATCCAGTCCAGTCCAATAAAATATTTGTACCTTTCAATAAATCAATGTTTTTAGTTCTCAGTGCATTGAATTAAACTGATTTAGATTATTCCTATGGAAAAATAATATTTTTTCACAAATAATAAAATAGATAATAAGATAAAACTATTTTTACATAAACTACAATCTATTTTCATAAAGCATTTTAAAGAACTTCCTACAACAAGGTGAAAACATCTCATAAAGATACAATATTTTCCCATAAACTCTTTCATTGCATAAGATAAAATGCAGATAAACTCTTCCAACCACAGATCAAATCTGACAAATAAATTACTTTAAAAAACACAATGCAAGATTGGTATTTCACATTTAATCATTTACCTTGAATCCATAGATCAATCACATCATAAACTGAAAGAAAAGCAAAACAATATGAGCAATGTGTAAAAAATTTCATAAATGTATAAAAACAAGCCTTGTAAACTACAGTTAAGAAATGTTCCTTTATCCACACCAATCATCTCATGTGTCACTTTAACCGGAGATCATTGGCTTCTTCTACAAATAAACAAAAAATGATAATAAGAAATTTGGCTAAAGCTTAAGAAGATGGGCCATTTAGAAAGCAGCATTGCACCAGAGACTTCAGCTACAATTCAGCAGAAAATTCTGATTAATTGTGCCACTTTCCTTGACCTAACTCAATGTTCATCTTCTAAGCTAAAATGTTTTGATACAAGTCTCATGTTTTCAAGCCCTTCATACAAGTCTCATGTTGCCAACCCTGTTGTCTTACAAATGGGACACAAATTCTTATGCATTAGCCACTGCTTAATACATTCGGTATGGTAATCATGCCCACAATCCAGTGATCCTAAATCATCTCCATCTTTGTACTCCTCCTGCACATAACACAACACTCAAGTTTCAATGTGCAAAACCATGCATGGAACAAAAACATCATAGTTTATAACATGACCATGCAAAGTTTACCTGACAAACACAACATGGTTCTGCCTCCTGCTGAGAACCTGGTTCAGCTGAATACTTCTTATTTTTCATGTGTTTCAATATGGTCTCCTCACTCAAGCCGGTACTCACATTTCCAATGCGTTCTTCCAAAGCAAGTAGCTCCTGTTACATTCATAAGTGTTACACAATAACAATCTCTCATCAACAAAGGAACTAAACGACACACAGGAGTAGTTTGAAACAAGTGTTTACCTCGTAAGACATGTTATCAACATCAAGTCGCATATCCCTGTGTCGATCATGCATATCAGCAATTCCAGCGAACACTGAATGGTCGAGGATCATAACATCCTGTCATAAAACCAAACCAAACCTCTTACAACACTAGCTTAGTATCAGTTCAAAGAGCCCAAACACAACTTGTTGATGTCGGTTGCAGATGTGATTTCCACAGATCAAAGCAAAATCCATTGAAATATATATTTTTCAAATACACCCTAAGCAGTTTCCATTTCCATACTCCCCAACTCTTCGACAAGAAACATAACACTAGATCTTTTATCATGTTTTGCAAGACACCTAACTCCACAACTAGATTTCATGGCCTCAACATAAGTTGAACACCCTAATATTTCTTGGATTCCAAGCAACATTCTAAAAGAACATAAGCACACTGAGATCACGACAGATTACATAACAGAATTTCATATAGGAAAACTCAGGCTTATTTTCTATGCAAGAACAAAGTATACAAATACAATTTCTATAGAAACCCTCAAGTACTTTACACCAGGATTCAATTCTGTTTGCATATACAATAGCTTTTTTCTCATTACAAAAGTTTGTTTTCTAAAGTTTCATCGGATATGAACAGAAAAATATCTTAACAATGATAAAAAATCAAATAGGACAAGTAAACATATACAGAAATTGAACCAGTTTGAAGCAACTGTGCAACTGTTAACAGAAGTTGAAAATGGAGCCAAGAAAGCTTTACTCAATATCAGTGCTTGTCAATATATATCATTAATTTGAAATAAAACTAACCTCAAATCGTAGGTTCCCACCCCTACGCATGAGGCCCAATACATTGCGGAGCTGCACAAAAGCAAATGTAAGTCCAAGAGAACAATTATTCGTAAAAGATGGCAAAAATACTGCAACTCAGAAGGGTAGCAATAACAGAGCTTGGAAATTGTCATCGTTTAGCCAAAGTGTGATTATTGAGAAATGTTAGGAGTAAAATCTGACATACTTTCTCTTAGACTTCATATTCTGCTTACTAGAAATCATTATAAATTGTTAAATTCAAAACCCTGCCCAAGATAAACCATAAGGCCTGAGCCCAAGATCGAATATTTATTTTCAATAAAAAAAAGTAAATTTTTCAAATCAAAGAAAAATAGGCTGATATCTGAGATGCCTCCATACACACATCCAAGAATTATAATAAAGAAACAATATTTTCCAGCAGTTAAAACTGCACAATAATATGCAAGAGAAGAGCCGAGTACATTGTTCATACCTCAGATACAAGTCTACTACTTCCTTCACCAGCAGCAGCCAAAGATCGTAATGAATACTGAATTCCAAATTCACTATCACCTTGCCTCTCAAATGGGTTTACCCCAGATGAAGTAGATGGGCCACGGAAGGAAGCATAATTGTTGCTTGAACTTCCAGCAGCTTCCAAACCAGGAGAAAACAAGGACCGACGAACATACTCGGACAACCTGCGAGGATACTGCTGAGGATTAGGGCGAGAAACCCACGCCGGAGCAGACGGAGGGTTGACAGCTGAATTTGAGCCTGCCCTCGATGAAGAACCAACATTTCCTGGGATACTTAAATTTGCACTATTTGAAGCTCTAGCCGGATTTCTAACCACATTTCTTAAATTGGTTGCAGGCACAAACATAGGGTATTCTACCATGTTTCTCGGCACACTTCTTGAACTTGCTTCCTCGTTTGGCAAATTATTTCTATCTGCACATATGACTGTGTTTGAAGGATGATTGTTGGTTGAGCTGGAACCTCCATTCCACCTGAATGGATGCACATTCCTTGGTAAAGCTGGAACATGAATAACAAGTGGCTGGCTTTGGGGAACCATAGTATCAACGACAGGTGGTGCTGACCTCAAGTCCAGAGAATTATCAACAGAATGAAACCGTTGCAACATTGGAGAGGACGAAGAGACGCCAGAATTCCTAAGAACACTCCCACTTGAGATTGCAGGGGGTGGAACCGAAATTTGTTGACTTGAAGGATTTATCCTCACACGAAAATTTCTGTGGAAGCTTTCTGAGCTTCCTGCAACATTTGACCAAGGAATGCTCTCAGCGGCTCCATCCCCAGTACTCAGACCGAGTCTCGCATTCACCTGTTCTGTTGAGGCAGATCTGTTAAAACTGCTTCCTCCATAATCCTGAGTAGGAAGAGTGTTCCAAGTATTACCATCTGTATGCTGACTATAGCTAGAACTTCCACCACCTGAAGATTGCCCTACACTTCGTTCAACAGCCTTTCTTTTACATGATACACGGCGTGTGTCCAGAGAACAACCAGGCCTACCATCAGTATCCTCAACCAAAAAGCCATTAGTGCCAGAAGGAAGCAGAAACGGACTAGAACCAATTGAAGGTTGAATATGCTCGTTTACCGGTCCACTAGACTTGTTCAAGTTAGGAGGATGTTCCACACGAAAGCCATTATCAGTGCCGCTATCTGCTAAGCTTGCATTTAGGTTGAGATTCTGAGGCACCAAGTGAGAATTGGAGCTGCGCATATACATGGAACTTGTATTGACATTGTCCAACGGAAAAGTATTGTTTGGTTCAAAGCGCCTTTCTTCAAGTCTTGGACCAGCTATAGCACCAGAACTTATTGAAGATGATAATCCTAGCTCTCCTTTCTGCTCATTGTTAGTAACCTCATTCTGAGTATTGCTGGAACTTGGCTCACCTAAGCTCCATCCACTTAGGTTCTGCCATTCATGGTTTATAGGATTTGCGTAAGACGGGTTCAAATCACTGGGGGGAAGTGCAAAATGGTTTTCTGCGGGATTTCGCATATTGTTCCAGAAAATATGTTGATCAACTGCAGCAGTACTTGATGTATCAAATTCTATGGTTTCTTGCAAGGAACCAATTGTACCTCTCTGCCCTTGCATTGAAGATATCTGAAGTTTCCAAACACAAAANTCCATCTTTGTACTCCTCCTGCACATAACACAACACTCAAGTTTCAATGTGCAAAACCATGCATGGAACAAAAACATCATAGTTTATAACATGACCATGCAAAGTTTACCTGACAAACACAACATGGTTCTGCCTCCTGCTGAGAACCTGGTTCAGCTGAATACTTCTTATTTTTCATGTGTTTCAATATGGTCTCCTCACTCAAGCCGGTACTCACATTTCCAATGCGTTCTTCCAAAGCAAGTAGCTCCTGTTACATTCATAAGTGTTACACAATAACAATCTCTCATCAACAAAGGAACTAAACGACACACAGGAGTAGTTTGAAACAAGTGTTTACCTCGTAAGACATGTTATCAACATCAAGTCGCATATCCCTGTGTCGATCATGCATATCAGCAATTCCAGCGAACACTGAATGGTCGAGGATCATAACATCCTGTCATAAAACCAAACCAAACCTCTTACAACACTAGCTTAGTATCAGTTCAAAGAGCCCAAACACAACTTGTTGATGTCGGTTGCAGATGTGATTTCCACAGATCAAAGCAAAATCCATTGAAATATATAAATTTCAAATACACCCTAAGCAGTTTCCATTTCCATACTCCCCAACTCTTCGACAAGAAACATAACACTAGATCTTTTATCATGTTTTGCAAGACACCTAACTCCACAACTAGATTTCATGGCCTCAACATAAGTTGAACACCCTAATATTTCTTGGATTCCAAGCAACATTCTAAAAGAACATAAGCACACTGAGATCACGACAGATTACATAACAGAATTTCATATAGGAAAACTCAGGCTTATTTTCTATGCAAGAACAAAGTATACAAATACAATTTCTATAGAAACCCTCAAGTACTTTACACCAGGATTCAATTCTGTTTGCATATACAATAGCTTTTTTCTCATTACAAAAGTTTGTTTTCTAAAGTTTCATCGGATATGAACAGAAAAATATCTTAACAATGATAAAAAATCAAATAGGACAAGTAAACATATACAGAAATTGAACCAGTTTGAAGCAACTGTGCAACTGTTAACAGAAGTTGAAAATGGAGCCAAGAAAGCTTAACTCAATATCAGTGCTTGTCAATATATATCATTAATTTGAAATAAAACTAACCTCAAATCGTAGGTTCCCACCCCTACGCATGAGGCCCAATACATTGCGGAGCTGCACAAAAGCAAATGTAAGTCCAAGAGAACAATTATTCGTAAAAGATGGCAAAAATACTGCAACTAAGAAGGGTAGCAATAACAGAGCTTGGAAATTGTCATCGTTTAGCCAAAGTGTGATTATTGAGAAATGTTAGGAGTAAAATCTGACATACTTTCTCTTAGACTTCATATTCTGCTTACTAGAAATCATTATAAATTGTTAAATTCAAAACCCTGCCCAAGATAAACCATAAGGCATGAGCCCAAGATCGAATATTTATTTTCAATAAAAAAAAGTAAATTTTTCAAATCAAAGAAAAATAGGCTGATATCTGAGATGCCTCCATACACACATCCAAGAATTATAATAAAGAAACAATATTTTCCAGCAGTTAAAACTGCACAATAATATGCAAGAGAAGAGCCGAGTACATTGTTCATACCTCAGATACAAGTCTACTACTTCCTTCACCAGCAGCAGCCAAAGATCGTAATGAATACTGAATTCCAAATTCACTATCACCTTGCCTCTCAAATGGGTTTACCCCAGATGAAGTAGATGGGCCACGGAAGGAAGCATAATTGTTGCTTGAACTTCCAGCAGCTTCCAAACCAGGAGAAAACAAGGACCGACGAACATACTCGGACAACCTGCGAGGATACTGCTGAGGATTAGGGCGAGAAACCCACGCCGGAGCAGACGGAGGGTTGACAGCTGAATTTGAGCCTGCCCTCGATGAAGAACCAACATTTCCTGGGATACTTAAATTTGCACTATTTGAAGCTCTAGCCGGATTTCTAACCACATTTCTTAAATTGGTTGCAGGCACAAACATAGGGTATTCTACCATGTTTCTCGGCACACTTCTTGAACTTGCTTCCTCGTTTGGCAAATTATTTCTATCTGCACATATGACTGTGTTTGAAGGATGATTGTTGGTTGAGCTGGAACCTCCATTCCACCTGAATGGATGCACATTCCTTGGTAAAGCTGGAACATGAATAACAAGTGGCTGGCTTTGGGGAACCATAGTATCAACGACAGGTGGTGCTGACCTCAAGTCCAGAGAATTATCAACAGAATGAAACCGTTGCAACATTGGAGAGGACGAAGAGACGCCAGAATTCCTAAGAACACTCCCACTTGAGATTGCAGGGGGTGGAACCGAAATTTGTTGACTTGAAGGATTTATCCTCACACGAAAATTTCTGTGGAAGCTTTCTGAGCTTCCTGCAACATTTGACCAAGGAATGCTCTCAGCGGCTCCATCCCCAGTACTCAGACCGAGTCTCGCATTCACCTGTTCTGTTGAGGCAGATCTGTTAAAACTGCTTCCTCCATAATCCTGAGTAGGAAGAGTGTTCCAAGTATTACCATCTGTATGCTGACTATAGCTAGAACTTCCACCACCTGAAGATTGCCCTACACTTCGTTCAACAGCCTTTCTTTTACATGATACACGGCGTGTGTCCAGAGAACAACCAGGCCTACCATCAGTATCCTCAACCAAAAAGCCATTAGTGCCAGAAGGAAGCAGAAACGGACTAGAACCAATTGAAGGTTGAATATGCTCGTTTACCGGTCCACTAGACTTGTTCAAGTTAGGAGGATGTTCCACACGAAAGCCATTATCAGTGCCGCTATCTGCTAAGCTTGCATTTAGGTTGAGATTCTGAGGCACCAAGTGAGAATTGGAGCTGCGCATATACATGGAACTTGTATTGACATTGTCCAACGGAAAAGTATTGTTTGGTTCAAAGCGCCTTTCTTCAAGTCTTGGACCAGCTATAGCACCAGAACTTATTGAAGATGATAATCCTAGCTCTCCTTTCTGCTCATTGTTAGTAACCTCATTCTGAGTATTGCTGGAACTTGGCTCACCTAAGCTCCATCCACTTAGGTTCTGCCATTCATGGTTTATAGGATTTGCGTAAGACGGGTTCAAATCACTGGGGGGAAGTGCAAAATGGTTTTCTGCGGGATTTCGCATATTGTTCAAGAAAATATGTTGATCAACTGCAGCAGTACTTGATGTATCAAATTCTATGGTTTCTTGCAAGGAACCAATTGTACCTCTCTGCCCTTGCATTGAAGATATCTGAAGTTTCCAAACACAAAAAAAGTTAACTATACGAGAAGAATCCTAAATGAAAAAGCACGTCACACACTCAGCTCAGCAAATCTGTCCAACAAGAAAGAAAGTGAACATTAGGCACTGAAAATGGACATATCCAATTAGCTTCATGTAAAATGCTGTAAAAATCACATCAAACGGTGATCAATGTTGGCAACTTAGGTTCAGATAATTATTTCCAAATGCATAATGTCACTAAAACTCCAAAAGCAACAGTTATCCTAAGCTTCTTGAAAGCTCCCATTTTCTCTATAATGCACCACGGTCACGATTGCATATCTACTAGTAAACTTAAAATTGCAGTGGCAGCAGGGCTTGAGCTCTGTGTTCATTCCCTTGATTATCTAGCACTGAAATCCATCAGGTGGATAGCATACCAGATTCCTATCAATCTCCAGACACATTAGGTAGTATCTGTTCAAAGCTGAAAGACTGAAACCATAATGGGGGAAGGTTGAACCCACCAATTAGGCAGAGGACTTACCCACCTAAGAGGCAATCATATATATTTGTTTAATGCATCAACAGCAATAGTTGACAACAGATTAGCTCATTTGTTGTGCACACAGATTTTACATCATAGCACAAACCAATGAGATGAAAACACCTTTTTATGAATCAATGTAAAACTAAACTTCCCAAACACTAAGCCAGGGGTGGAGAACAAGGAGAGTATTTTTCGAAAACCACAAGCACCAACCCTCACAACTCAAAACACCTCTTTCATCAGCTAAGGAACCCTACAGTACAGAACCCAATAATGCAGCATTACCAATTGATTAACACCTCAGAAAATTATCCACCCAGAAGAGAAAGAAGACCATACCCCCAAGAATAACAATAAAGTCAACTCCTTTTTACAGAACATGATGAACAAGACAGAAAAGAAAAACAAAAAAATGAAAATTTTCGGAGATCAGCAAAACTTTTGCAACGTTTCAAAACAGGGCTGGATTAAACATATCAACACCCAACAAAAACCAATACAGCTTGTCAGAGGGGAGGAAAAGCAGTGAAACGTTTGGTGACCATTTACCCAGCCCAAAAACATTGGGAAAAGGCTGTTTGGTCTTATCACTCTGTGGTTTTCTGGGATTCAAAACCTCAAGTTTATTTTTCTGGTTTTTTAAAATGTTTTTGGGGTTTGATTGGAGTATT